ACCAGGTTAATCTTGATCATCACCTGGACATTCTTCCGGTCGGCTGGGCAAGAAATAGTTGTTTCGCCTTCCTTTCTGGAGGCATTCGCAATACACGGCCATGCCATCGCAGCTGTGGCTTCTCAATCTGAAGAAGCAGCGGCTGCACATCAAGGCCTTCACTGATGTCAGTATTCCGAACCATATCGAGACGCTAAAGCTAGCGACTTGTCTAAGAAATCCCATTTCAGTCATTTGTACCCGAGATCGAAGTTTTTCAGTCATGGTCCACGACTCTTGACCGCAGGTAAGGAGTTGAAGATCGACATCAACACCGAGTAATTAGTCTTCAGACTCAGCTCTACTTTAGTCACAGCGGTTCGGACTAGTTCACTCACAGCGCCACTGGCTACTCCATTCTGCTAGTGCTACTCCATTCCTAAAATTTTTCAAAATCAGTGAGAGCGAACCCGAGGTGCTTAAACTTCTCCTCTTTCTCCATTGCTTCTCCGTTAATCTGAAGAGAGCACCGGCAGGAGAACGAGAAAGCACTGGACTTTTAGTTTTAGATACGGTTACGCTCATGCTGGCCACGTCGCACTCGGCTTCGAACGTTTCCACAGATGATACTGTAGATCAGTTTCAGAAGGTGTCAACAAAGCAAGGTCATCTGCAAACGGCAACCCTCTCGTCTCCATTTCTCCTATACTTATACTGTTATTGCCTTGGCTATGTCTGGCTATTCTATTCATGTATAACATAAATACTGGATGGGCAGAACTCAGCCTTAGCGGAGACCAGTGCCAACGCTGAAAGATTTCGACTTAACGCCATTTACTCAGTACCTGCTGTCACCATGCAGTGATTGGATGGCCATCGATCCCATATGTTCGCAGGCTTACCCATTCTTGCGCGGGATCCGATCATACGCTTTCTCGAAGTCAACAAACCACATGTACACCTGATGGGCGAACGTCCACGATTTCTCAGCTATTTGGTATAGGCCGAATACTTGGTCGGACATGCTTCGGCCGCACTGGAAGCCACACTGTTTTCCTGTTTTTTTTGGAATCAGTTACTCCGCTTCACTTAATTTTCAAGCCTTATACCTAGACTGCCCTCGAACCTCAGTATAGTAATATCCCGATAATAGGAACACGCGCTGTGGTCTCTCTTCTTTAACAGGGGTGCAACAACGCCCGTTCTCCAGTCCGCTGGTGTCTTCCCATAGCCATTTCAGCTTGAGAAACGCGTGCACGCCAGCACATGCCTTGTTCACCTATTTCTTCAATTCCAACTACCTTTCCATTTTTAAAACTTTTGACAGCCCGTGATTTCATCTGCAGAAATAGTAATATCCGTTCCCTGCTGTTCTATAAGCGAGTTTTCCTGCGGTTGAGCGGGGTTAAGGAGTTCGTCAAAGTACTCACTCCATCGCCGAAGAATGTCGTCATCCTTGGTAAGAGATCTGTCCTTCAAGACTCTGAGACTGTCCGTCTTATCACCTCGGAGCCGGCGGATTGTCTGCCAGAATACTTTGTTCGCCTGTGGAAATTCGACTCTAACACTTCACCAAACTTCTCCCAGGAATCAGTCTTGGCTTTTGTCACTGCTATGGCTGCCGCCTTGCGTTTCTCTTATATCGCACGCGAGTAGATGGCTCGTTGTTTCCAAGCCATTTCTTGAATGCAGCCTTTTCTATAACAACCAGTTGTACCTCTGGTGTCTACCAGGAGGTTCTTTTCTGACCTCCAGGCATCAGGCCAACCCGTTTGAATCTGCGGTATTCCGAAGCAGCCGGAGATACTTTTTTTAAGAGCTTCCATTCGGTATCCATATCAGCGGTTATTATCTGGATCGGTTAAAATCGTTGTGCTATTTTGTTTGCAAGTTTTGCCCTCATGTCCGTGGAAGATTAAGTTTCCCGTTTGATTCTTTGGTTGCTTCCGCCGCTAAGTTCTTGCTTGGTACTCCATCTCTTACAACGTGTGATGCCAAAAATAACGCATTGATCGGTTGACAGTTCTTTTTCTCTCCTAACTCGGACATCCAGTACAGAGCGTCCTAAGTCGGGCAATACAATTATTAAATCGACCTTCGATTTCTGTGCACAAGCTTCCCCGTACCAGGTTCACTGAGAGACCTTTCGATGCTCGAAGAAGGTTTTCTGAATAGACGGTCCATTATTTACACAAGATCACGGCAACTTCATGCTGTTATTGTTGAGGTCGCTTTGGCCGTTTATTTTTCAATCACGCCGTTCCACTTTCCAGTGACTGCTGCGACATGTGAATTGAAATCATCCATTAGAATGAGGGAATCTGTTGTCGGCATTTCGTATAGCAGAGCACTTTGAGCACCTTCCATTTTCTCGAGGAATAACTTATATTCTCCCTCCAAATTGAGCGCTTAAAGCTGTAACAGGGTCGACGCTTTAGCCTCTTGTAGCCACTCACAGGATTGCCACCCTTCCTCTGACAGACTTCCAATCAGTGATTCTGTCAGCGAGGTTGGGTTCTACCAGAACACCAGTACCGGCCTTAGCGCGCGTGGTGATGTAAGCACCTGAGTAAAATAGCTTCCACCCACCCCCTGTTATTCAGAATTCCAGAGCCGTAGCGCTTCGTTGACAGGAGTCCAACTATGTCCAGTTGGTACCTTGAGGCCTCTTGAACTAGCTCCTACTCTTTCCCTTTGAGTGAGGATTAATTTCATTTTCCGTCTGTAGGTTCCCACCGGCGGTGTCGTTCTCGTGGAGCCTTTTCTGACGTGCTGTAATGGCATCGCTCTGTCTGCCTCCTTTATTCTGAACGGGTAGCGACTCCGTTGCTGATTGGTATCTTCATCGTCCTTTCGTCGATCTTCGGCTGCCATTGTTGCGCTGATACACCCGCGGCTTTCAGTGGGCGATGAGCAAGTTCTCATCGCCGACTTTTGGCAGTCTTCCAGCAGCTTGTGCTGTCCTTGATCTTTCGGGCGACGACTTAGCCGGTATAATGCTCGATGACAGCAGCACCATTAGGGTTTTGCGCCTATGTTTTATGGAGTCTTCGCCACGGTCTCCAACCTTATTTCTATTACGGGCTTGCACAAGCAACGCGAAGTTACTATTGTTTTGATTCGTTTTCTGTAGGATTTTGTGGTTAGGTTGAATCTGTTTAATTTTATACTGTGCTGTTGAGTGACCATGTCCTTTTTTTATTCGTTGTTTTGTATCAGGCTCAGGCATGTATGAAGAAAGCTCAAAGCCTCTCAGTTGCCTTTAATGATTTATTTTGTAGAATTCTACAAATGCTGGCTGCAGCGAATGTGAATCAAATTCAACTTCAACCAGTACCATCGGCAGCAACTTCTTCAAATCACCTCCACCTTTTATTTCAGAGGTAGTTTCCACGGAACAAAAGGTGCCAAGGATGCACGAGAGAAAAGTTAGAAGCCCAATATGTTTGTCTCTCGCTGATGCGATCGTTTATAAGGTGTGTATGAATATTTTTTTGCATTTGAAAAATGAAACCTACATGTCCTACACGC